TGATTAAAGTCTTTGACTGCCTGAGCCATAAGGCTTGCTTGTCTATTTCAAAAAAGAAATCATGCTGATACACACATGCCCCCCTCCCAACAACTTAGCCCGCCTTTCCGAAATGCTTGGCCATCTCCAAACACTTGACGTGCAAGGCAGAGTTGCTGGTCCCCGGCCAAAAACTTGGAGATTGGAAACCCAAGTTTTTGGAGCAAGCGCTTGGCATGAAGGCCCAAGTGGTTGGCCCCACTCCCAACAACTTAGCCTGCCTTGCCAAGATGTTTGGCCATCTCCAAACACTTGGCGCGCAAGGCAGAACTTGCTGGTCCCTGGCCAAAAACTTGGAGATGTGGAACCAAGTTATTGGAGCAAGCACTTGGCATGAAGGCCCAAGTAGTTGGCCCCACTCCCAACAACTTAGCCTTGCCAAGATGTTTGGCCATCTCCAAACACTTGGCGCACAAGGCAGAACTTGCTGGTCCCCGGCCAAAAACTTGGAGATTGGAAACCCAAGTTTTTGGAGCAAGCACTTGGCATGAAGGCCCAAGTGGTTGGCCCCACTCCCAACAACTTAGCCCGCCTTGCCAAGATGTTTGGCCATCTCCAAACACTTGGCGCACAAGGCAGAACTTGCTGGTCCCTGGCCTGGCCAAAAACTTGGAGATGTGGAACCAAGTTTTTGGAGCAAGCGCTTGGCATGAAGGCCCAAGTGGTTGGCCCCACTCCCAACAACTTAGCCCGCCCTGCCAAGATGTTTGGCCATTTCCAAACACTTGGCGCGCAAGGCAGGCTTGCTGGTCCCTGGCCAAAAACTTGGAGATTGGAAACCCAAGTTTTTGGAGCAGGCACCAGGCATGAAGGCCCAAGTGGTTGGTTGGTTGGTTCACAACTTATCCTGCCTCGCCAAGTATTTGGCCATCTCCAAATACTAGCAGCAGAAGGCAATGTTGCTGGGCCGCGGCCAAGAACTTGGAGATGGGAAACCCAAGTCTTTGGAGCAAGCGCTTGTTGTGAATGCCCCTACCCCAACTATTGAGCCTGCCTCTCCCAAGTTTTTGGCAATATCCAAACACTTGGCGCGCAAGGCAGAGCTGCTGCCCCCCTGCCAAAAACTTGGAGATTCCAAAAGACTTGGAGATGGGGAACCAAGTGTTTGGAGCAAGCGCTTGGCGCGAAGGTCCAAGTGGTTGGCCCCACTCCCAACAACTTAGCCCGCCTTGCCAAGATGTTTGGCCATCTCCAAACACTTGGCGCGCAAGGCAGGCTTGCTGGCCCTGGCCAAAAACTTGGAGATGTGGAACCAAGTTTTTGGAGCAAGCACTTGGCATGAAGGCCCAAGTGGTTGGTTCACAACTTATCCTGCCTCGCCAAGTATTTGGCCATCTCCAAATACTAGCAGCAGCTTGGAGATGCGAATCCCAAGTCTTTGGACGCTTGGTATGAAAGCCCCTACCCCAACTGCCTCTCCCAAGTTTTTGGCAGTATCCAAACACTTGGCGTGCAAGGCAAAGCTGCTACCCCCCTGCCAAAAACTTAGAGATGGGGATGATGGGGAAGCAAGTTTTTCCAACCTTGCCTTACACGGGGGCTTTTTGATGCGCCAAAACTAGGCTTCAAAGGTTTTCAGGGTACTTGGGCGACATGCTTGGGGTGGGGCTGGGGCATGTCCGAAGAAGATGTTCGCTTTCCCTTTCCAGTCGCCAGAAGAGGACTTTCAATTTCCAGCCGACCCCGCCAAAAAAACACTTTAGCCTGGCTGGCACTGGGCAGAAGGGGACTCTAGCCACGAGAAGCCAACCCTTTGAGGGTGATTTCAGCCCTTTTCCATTTCCGGCCGCTCTGAAAAGGGGGCTTTCCGTTTTCCGTTTCCAGCTACAGCCGGTCCGTTTTTCCAGGCTTTCGGCCGTTTCCGGAAGGGGGATTTCCATTTCCAGACTGGGAAACGGAAGCGAAAACGGAAGCGGCCCCGCCAGGCGAGGAGCCTCTAAAAAACCAGCCCGGGCGCGCCTGGCTTGTTTCTCGTCTTGTTTTGCCGGACGTGTTGCCCAAACCCTCCTGAAATGCGACAAAACGCGTAAAATCATGGCCACAAAAGCTAACTTGAACTAGCGTGGGCTTGTTTTCATTGATTGCTGGTCTTGTTTTCATGGGGCAGCTGCTACGGCTCAAGGCTACACCAGGGCTCAGTTACCCACCCACCGCTGAATGGCGAAGCGTCAGCTTAAGGGCAGGCGCGGGCCACCTCGCAAAGCGAACAGCGTCATCAAGCGGAAGTGCCAGTTCAAGAAATGTCGGCGCGGTGTGGATGTGAAAAACATCAGCAACAAGCTCACTCTGGCCAAAAGTCAAGTGGACGCAGCCTCTTGCAGAAACATATCGGAAAGGTGCCAGGCAGTCAAGTTCTGCTGCGAAGACCACATGAAAGCCTGCAAGAAGAACAAGGCTGCAGCCAAGCCACGAGGTGGGAGAGCTTGCTTGGACATTGCGCAAATCCAGTGCTTGTTCTCTGTGCTCCTGGAGGACGGGTGTGCCTGGGCAGCAGCCCTCACGATGACCCAGCTCTTCATGGGGGATCGTGCTGACGCAGCACGTCAGTGCCAATGGTCTTGGCTGGAAAATCTGGCCCCAGAGTCACTGAAACAGCCTACCATGCGCATCCCACGAGTAAATGGCAAAACAATTGCCAGGGAGGTGGCGCTTTTCCCTCCCTTCGCCCGGCTGCTTTGGAAATGGTGCCAAGTCAGCCCCCTCCAAGCCAAAAATGGGAGCCAGTGGCCTTGCGGCCACAAGCCCAGCGGAGATGACCTTTTGTTCCCAGGTTACAGCAGCGATGGTCAAAAAAGGCAATGGGACAAGGCCATCTCTGAACGAGCCTATTTGGCCCGACTTCATCGCGCAGCCTCAGTCATTCAGAAAGCCCGCCGGCAAGCTGAAGAATCGCAGGAGCAACACGCATTTTGCGACTTCGACCTGAGCAAGCTAGGCACACACTCGTTCAAAAAAACAACAGTGACTTTGCTGTCTGAAGCCCATGTCGCGTACTCCGTCATCAGTTCAATTTGCGGCACTTCAGTCAAGGTGCTCCAGAGCACATATGACTTGGCCACGCCAAGCCGCCAGTCCTCCGCATGGCGGGTGGCCTTTAAGGACCTGGCAGACACGCTTGATGCTGGTGGGAAAGCCGCTGCGCTGAGTCACTGCGGTGGGTGCGGGAAAAAGCAAGGCAATGACAAACACCGCTTTTGCACGGACTGCGGCATGGAGCTTTGAATTGAATTGCTGCACTGCTTGCCACGCAACGCTGTCTCACATCCTGTCTCACTCGGATGCATGTGCTCACTCTGTCAGCGCAGGAAGAAGCAGCTTTGATAATGGAAGCAACACAAAGTAGTAGCTCATGTCACATGAAATTGATGTCATTGAAAATTGCATGGCTCCCGATAATTTCGCCCCTGCGCTGGCGGATTGCCAGGTCTGGCCTGGCCTGCGGACTCCTGGTCCGGCCCTCAGCTTAGTCTTGATGGCAACATGGAGGGAACACTTATTGTGACTTACTTACGCGCTCGTGACATTGCTGGGGCTTCGAGTCAGGGAAAGCAGGCAGCCGCTTTGAAGCTCTATGAGCTGCACCTTGGTTTGCGAAACCGGCGCCTCACCTGCTCTGTCTCACTCATGGAGCCAATAAGGGCGGCCCGGAAAGGGGACTGCATCCAATCCGACACCGCCTTGCGGTGGGCTTCTGAGGCTTGAAGGCCCATCTCGTTGGTGTAGTACAACTTCGCGAGCTTGCAAAACTGGGCCTTTTGCTCGATCACCTTGCCTGGTTGCATGCTGTTGCAGGCGCAACTCAACACCTGAGACTAAAAGGACTTACTCATGAACAAAAACCTGAACAAGAGCTACTGTAAGCCAAGCCAGGGACCCTGGAGGCGAAGGTCCGCTGGTGGCTGGAACCTCCCCTGATCGTCCTGCGCTTTGCCGTCATCTTCAGCAGCAGCCTCATCCCGAGACACCGCCTCATCCTCAGCAGCCTCATCTGCGTTGGCCATCGCCGCCTTGTCCGCAGCAGCCTCATCTAGGTCAGCCTTCTCCGCCTCAAATGGCCCGTAAACAATCTCGTCCTCTTCCTCTCCTTCGGGGGCTGTTCCTGCTGCACTTGGCTTCTTCATCATGGAAGGCTTGCGCTTGACACCCCCGCGTTGCTGCGTGCTTGCGCTGGGCCCCTGCGCCACCGCCTTTGGCTGCGCCTTTGCCTTGGCCTTTGACTTTGCCTTGGCTTTGGCAAGCCCCTGACTGCTGCTTTGCTCCTTCTTTGGCTCTGACTTGGCCTTGGCATGAGCTGCTGCCTTTAAGGCTTTGCCCTGACAACCTTTCTGCTCCTCTGCCCCCGGCTTTCCCGCGGGCTTCTTCAGAACCTGGGCCTGTTGAAGCTCTTCTTCAACTTCCTCCTTGAGGCTTGTCGTGTTCTTCGTGTGACCGCCAGCCGCCGCCACCTGCGAAAACAACCCCGACAAGGTTCTGGGAGCTGGCGCAGAAGGTGGCTGGAATGGGCTTCCCTGCTGAGCAGTCTTTTTGACATTCGTGGGAGTGAGCAGCGGGGACACAGGCCCAGGCTGCGCAGACCGCCGCTGCTCATCAATCACTTCTTCTTCCAAAGCAGACCAGTCCATGAGACTCAACCGGCAGCAGTCAGGGCTGAGAGAGTTGGAGCCACTGGCGAGCTCAAGATTCAGAAATGACATGCTTGCAATATCCGCAAAGTTGGGGCAACAACGCACGCAAGCTGTTTTTCTTTTTGGGATCTAGAGCAGCGATCGGGTGTGTCCTACTATAGCACTGACTGTCTTCAAATCTCAAGGCATGATGCCTCAAATCACAAAACTTTGCCTGGGAAACTTCCCAGGTCAAGATCAGGGTTCCGCCTTAGAACGAGACTTCTGCTATAGGGTCAGGCGGTTTCCTATTTCCCAAAGCTTCTACGGGCACCGGTACACGGAGCCCTGAAGATCTCACACAACACGGACGACCTGCTGGGGCTGCAAGGGAAGATCGCGCTTGAGGAAGAACTCGGGCCTCTTAGGCACCATCACGCCCAGGGCCATGTCCACAGTGAGGACCCAAGAAAGCTGAATGCGAGGTGAGGCGTGGATGAGCTTGGCCGGTAGATAGCTTCCCAGGTTGCTGCCCCTGACGGTCTCAATGGATGGCGCGGCCTTTGGCTTCAAGCACCAGGTCGTTGCGTTTTCAGGCTTGATCTCAAAGTGATCCACATCGCCTGGGGCATGCGCTGCTCCTGAGGGCCGCTCGCAGGAGTGGCCCCAAACCTTCAGGCTCAGCAATCCAGCAACCTCAGCCTCGTGAAGCACTGCCCGCAAGGGCTCTGGGTCTGCCGTCACGGTGGTTCCCTCTGAGGAGATTTCGCACATTACCTGAGCACGGGAGCAAACAAATGTCAGTCAACGGCTTGGCCTTAGTTGTGTTTTGTCACACAAGCAGCTAAGATGCAAGGGCGGTGTCCGAGTTGAGCTCAAACACGTACAAGTGCTTCTCGTTGTCGGAGGCAAGCAGTCTGGTAGACTTTGGGGGTTTGTACCAATCGGCTGCCCCCATCTTGAACAACGCCTTTTCCTTGGCCTTCACTGTCAAGGACTCCTGCGCTTGCAAGTAGACCTTGAGGGAATCCAGCTCGCCGTCGCCTAAGTCCATAACCAAGTTCAAGCCTTTGATCTCTGTGGCGCATGTGTGGGTCGTTCGGCCATCCAGCAGGCTCGCAGGCTGGGCCTCCCACTCTGCAGGAAGCTCGCCGGCGGCGCCGGTTTCCTCAGCGGCGACCACGGTGGTGGCTGCAGATCCTGATCCTGACGAGGCCGCAGCCATCGCTGCCGCCGTCGTCTCCACGTCGCCTGTCGCCAGCTCATCGCACTTACGAAGCTCTGCAAGCCACTCAGGGCCGTAGACTGGGTCTGAAGACCACTTCTTTCGGATTTGAGAGGGGACAACCGCTTTGCCCTCAGTGCTGACGGTCATCAACGTCAACTCAGGCATGGGGGGGTCAGAGAAGCGCTTCGCCTCTGCGTCCGGCAACTTTGCTTGGAACTTCAGCGAGGGTTCCGGCTGCAGTTTGAAGGACGCCTCCTTCCAGTCAAGCAGCAAAGCCTTGCCAACACGACCCTGGCAGGCCTGAGCCGAGAGCAAGTCCAAGCCCAGGCTGCAGACTCGCCAAGAAGATGGCCCCTTGTTGTTGGCCTTGAGGCACCCCAGCTCCAGCCCGCCATCGTGAGGGCAGAAATTGAACACCGCCACTGCGTCGCTTCGCTTGGTGAGGATCGGCTTGGGGGAGCTGTCGCTGGTGTGAAGCAAAGCCTGGAAGAGGGCCATCGGCACGCTCTCTCCAGCAAGAAGGTGCGCCGCTCGCTTCTCCAAACTGAGGTTGCCTGGGGAGCTTGGAGCGCCAGGTTGCGCAGCTGTGAGCACGTAGTCAGATGGGCTCATCCAGTCGGCTTCCTTCATGGTTGCCTTTCGGCGCAACAGAAAGCTGCTGGTGAAGGGGTTGGAATCTTCACCAGATTCTGGGATGAGAACGTACGCATCATAGCAAACTTGGCGGCTGTCGTTGCCATGGAGGGACACCTCGGACATCCTCAACGACACCAAGATGGGGATGAAGCCCTTGTTCTCCGCCTTCAGCTCCAGGCGTGCCCGCTCCGCTCGATCTCCTGTCAGCACAAGCTTCGCCAACTCCACCAAAAGTTCAATATTGGGCTGTTTCTCCCGAAAGTGTTAGCGAAGGATTGTTTTGCAAAACAGGTTGCTGGCCACTCGCAGCCTCACATTTACAGCGGTGGCACAGCGGCGCAGGCGCAGCACAGCGTTGCGCAGGTTTGATCGCAGATTCGCATTCACAGCTTAGCGTTGCACAGCGATTACGCGACTGGCGCACCAAACGGAAAGTTGATAGGCAGTCTGGCTTACCCAGTGCTGCCTTGCAGCCTGCGTTACGCAGCCTAGCTCACGCGGCCTCAAGATCACAACTCTCATCTCTGTCATCTCTGTCTTCGTTCTTGGCAGCGGGGGGGGTTAGGTTTCGCAGGCATCGGAAGGATAAACTCTACAAATATCGCACGTGTCTGGCTTACACGGCCTGCCTTTCGCAGCCTGGCTTACACTACGCAGTCTGGCTTTTTCTGGCTTACACAGCTTGCGTTTCGCAGCCTGACCTACGCAGCTTGGCCTACAGCTCTTTTCTCTATCTTCCTGCTTTGCGGGGCGTAAGTTTGGTGGGCATCGGTGGGCGAACCCTTTGCGAAAATTGCGTGTGTCGAATCGCTCTCGCTGTGGCCGTCCGTGCGCCCGTTGGCCGTTGAACCCTCTGCGGGGATCGGGTGCATCGGCTCACTCTCGCTGCGGCGCCGTGCAAACTTGAAGGCTCGCCAGCAAACTCGGCAGGGATCGGGTGTGTTGGAAGTGGCTGCGCTTGTTGCAGAGGAAAAATGGCTGCTGCAGGGATGCCTGTTGGGTGAAGCAAGCGCTGCGCAATGTGTTTTACTCGTGTCGCGTCATAAATTGAGCATGCTATGAGACAGGGGGGAAAAGCCGTCGGCGCAGATCAGGCCTGAGCAGATTTGTCCGACTGCGCGCGGCCTTGTCATCGGCTCCGGCAGTCAGCTCTGCATGTCGCCGCAGCAAGAGGGATCCGACGCAGCTCCCTACATAGATTTCACCCGCGAGCTTTCAAATTCGCGTGGCATCACTGCGAGATCTCTTAACGTTGCTTGCTTTTAGCTTGCATTGTCGCATGGCACAGCTTGTCTGACACACACACACACGCACACACACACACACACACACATCCGCGCCAAATCTCTTTGCGCTACGCCTTGAAAAATATTGAACCTACATTCCGCTTCCAAACCGTCCAGCGCTAATCACAACGCGTCTTGAGCTGGAACCTTGCGTGCCACGTTGTAGCTGCTGAGCCTCGGCTACTGGAACTTGGCGCGGGATGTTGATCTTCTACGCGGGTGCGTGCACATTGGCGGAAATCGGGGGCCTAGGTTGAAGCCTCAAGTAAAGGCAGCCAACAATGTTGAACTTGCAGCTCCTGTCAGCCGCTTCTTGGACACGACCGTGGTCGGCACGATGATGGCAGCAAAGTTGGTTGGGTCCTGCGCGGCCGCCTGCTGCACAACATCGAACATGTTGCTCACCGCGTCATCAGACATGCGCCCGAACTTGTTGCAGTCACAGTAGAAGATCTTGAGAACAACGCCGTTTGTTGATGAATCCGGGCCACACCGCAGAAAACGCGACCACGCCTGTACCTGAGACGCGCCCGTCTCGCAGCCCTTGATGTTGCACATGTTCTGCATGAACGGTTCAATGACCTGGGTCCTCGCTGAGTGGACTTGGTTTCGCACCCACGCAGCCAGCGCGATCTTCTGCGCTTTGCTGTTGCTCTGCTGCTCCTGGACGTGCAGGCAGTACTTGCACAAGTCAGCATTCAGAGACAGCATGTCTGCTTTGAACTGGCTTTCTTGCTGCTGCTCATTGATGGCATTGAGGTCAAGGCGGAGCTGCATTGGGTTGGTTGTCGCTCCTTCTTTGCCAAATGACTGCGGCCACGGCCACTCCTGCAAAGTCCAATCAGGGCTTCTGGCCGCAATCTGGGCCCGGAATGTCGCCAGGAAGTCCCCCTCTGTGCCTGAGAGGCCATTATGTGATTGGCAAAAATGCGAGTGTTCCCGTAGCAAAAACAATAATACGCCTGCTTTCCGAGACTTGGCGGGCCCAAGTCTGGCGCAGGCACGTTCTGTTTCCGAGACTTGATGGGCCCAAGTTTGGCACGGGCGTTTTCTCTTTCCAAGACTTGGCGGGCCCAAGTCTGGCGCATGTTCTGTTTCCAAGACTTGGCGGGCCCAAGTCTGGCGCAGCCATGTTCTGTTTCCAAGACTTGATGGGCCAAGTCTGGCACGGGCGTTGTCTGTTTCCAAGACTTGGTGGGTCCAAGTCTGGTACGGGCATGTTCTGTTTCCGAGACTTGACGGGCCCAAGTCTGGCGCAGGCATGTTCTGTTTCCGAGACTTGGCGGAAGAAAACAAACCGCAAGTAAATGCCAAACAGCACCAAGTTGCATCTCTTCCGCAAAGCATCCCTCTCTGCATCAGGCTGTGTTCCCGCGTTGGCTAGGGCATGGCCACACCAGCACGAGTAATCGCAGAACTCTGCCCACTCGTCCAGGGTCAAGTTCTTTTGCCGGCCAGCTTTCAAATTGCGAAGAACCTGCCCGCAAAGGCCAGAAGAAGGAGTCGGAATCTAGCGAAAACCGACACTGGCAAACCTCCGCGACGCAGCGCCCCGAAGAACAACGCTCTCCCTGCCTCATGGTTCACAACCTCCGCCAGGATTTTCTGCTTCTCGGAGTCCATGACAAGCATTTGGCCCCAAATGGAATGATCGTTGGCTCTACCGCTCGAGCCCCCAATGATCCATCGCTTGGTCTGGAGGACCTTGAGCCTGTATGGGTTTGCCTTCTCCGGGGCGATGTCCAGCAGCCTGCTCACAGAACGGAGAAACGCAGGGCTGCTGTGAAGAATGCAGTTCATGATCGCATCCCTCTGCACAGCGGAGAGCTTGTACGCTGAGTTCCTTGGCTAACAATAGGAGGCAGGCCCAGTTTATCAAATGCCTCAAAGAAAAGGATTTTGGCGACATGCTTTGAAGTGAATGGTAATGCCAAAAGTCTGGCAACGCCCATCGTACTCCTCAAGAACAGACGCGAGGAGCTGCTGCATAAGGGTGAGGTTGTCCATGACATCCTTCCCTGGGCAATCTTCCTTTCCCAGCTCCAACATCGCGGAATGGAATTTGATAGCGAGCGAGACAATTGTTAGCGGCCGCCGTTCCTGCAGCATCTGGGACTGAAGGGTGGCCTCATACAGGCGCTCTCGGCTGGACTCTACAGCCTCCACGGACGTGTACACTTGACGAGCGCTCTGCAAAAACCTCAGGCAAAATGGTCACAGTACAATGTTAGCACTGTTCGCTTCCTGGATGTATTTTTCCAGCCAGGCTTCAAAGTCAAAAGCTTTCAAGAGGTGTTCCAGCAAGATTGGGCGTCGGAAGGTTTCGTCGCAAGTTTCCCTCAGGAGCTTTGGGATTTTCTCCGGCGAGGTTGCGCGGCAAGATTTCCGGCGAGGTTTTGGCGTCGGACGTTTCCAGCAAGGGGTTGCATCTTTCCGGCGAAGTTTTGTGAGCAGATGTCCGGCGAGGTTTTGGCGGTATCATTTTCCGGCGAGGTTTCGCGGCAAGTTTTCCGGCGAGTTTCCGGGAAACTCACCAGAAAATGGTAGGGGAAAACCTGCCCCAAAAAACCCTCGCCAGAAGCCAAACGGGCCCACAAGAAAATTGCCTGTGGAGCCTCCCCTAGACCAATTCCTCACCAGAAACCAGACGGGCTTTTTAAAAAAAAAAAATCTGGTGAGTTTCCGGGAAACTCACCAGATTTTAAATTGTAGCTGCACCTAGCCAATTTTGCAATTTTTCCCCCCAGCATGGTAGCCGGGCTAGGGCCAAAAATTGCAAAAAAATGCTAGGTACAGCTACCATTTAAAGTCTGGTGAGTTTCCCGGAAACTCACCAGATTTTTTTTTTAAAAAGCCCGTCTGGTTTCTGGTGAGGAATTGGTCTAGGGGAGGCTCCACAGGCAATTTTCTTGTGGGCCCGTTTGGCTTCTGGCGAGGGTTTTTTGGGGCAGGTTTTCCCCTACCATTTTCTGGTGAGTTTCCCGGAAACTCACCGGAAAACTTGCCGCGAAACCTCGCCGGAAAATGATACCGCCAAAACCTCGCCGGACATCGGCTCACAAAACTTCGCCGGAAATATGCAACGCCAAGATCTCGCCGGATATCCCTTGCTGGAAACGTCCGACGCCAAAACCTCGCCGGAAATCAGGCCGCGAAACCTCGCCGGAAAACGGCCAGCGCCAAAACCTTGCGATAAAGCGGCCTACACAAAAAAACGCCAGAAAACCAAAATGATGCCAAGCCCTGCAGACCCGTGCGAAACATGACAATGACGGCAGAGAACACCGTGCGTGGGCACCCTGCCCAAATCTCCGCTCTCGTGGCACCTCCTGGCCTTGAAGCCTTGCCCTAGCCGTGACCCACGAAGCCTAGGAACGATGATTGCCTCATAGAACTGCTGCAACTGTACCCAAATTCCAAGCCAAGGAGCTGAATCCACAGCTTCGTCCCCTCCTGCATTCTGGAAGCGTCGAGCGACTCGTGGCTGCCCGTGTCTTCAACAGCATCTGCCCCCTTCATGACGGCGAAGAGCAAGGCACTGATCCTCGAGAAGCCTTTCCCAGCCAAGTACGCAAACTGACCCTGACCTTTGTCTCCAGGGTGCAACGTGATCTTGATAAACTCCCGGTTGTCGTATCCGCGGGGCTCAGTCACAATGTCCTTCAAGCAGTTCATCCATTGCGGCAGCCGCGGCCAGTCCACCACTGCTTCGCCTGCCAGCTTCCCAGAGCCCCTATCAAAAAGCAACTAGCGCAAATTCCATACCTCAACTTCACATAGCAGGTGGGGCAAACCACACCCACAACCTTGCCTAGCACATTCATCTCAGTCCGTGTCAAAACGAAGCTTGTGAGAGCGGTGTGGCTCGGGCTGCTTGCGACCGGCTCATCTGGCAGATATTTCATGAAAATGCTCAGGATTTCCGATCTTGCCGCAGCGCCAGTGTCGCCGAACTGCTCCAAGGCCCACTGGCAAGGATGGTCTTTCAAACTCTCGGCCAGCTTGATCACTGCCTGCGCACGGTTGCATTCTTCACGCAGCTCAGCACCCTGGCATGAAAGCACGCAATGAGCAGCAACTGGAGCATTGGGCATTTTTCTGCTAGACTACGCAGCAGGTGTTGAATTCTTACTGTCCTACACTTGGCGGTAAAGCAAGGGCCGCATAGAGACAGCTACACCTTCTCGATGTAGAGCAGGGCCGCAACACAAGACAGGCCCCGAACATGGCAGTCCCTCCATTGGCACCAAAGCAGTCTCTATCTTCTAATAATCCTAACAGGAATTCCACTAATAATAAAATAGCATTTTTCTTTTCATTATTAGTAAAGATTTCTATGGAAAGATATTAATTCTCTATCTATATCTTCTTCAAATTACCTCCGGGTTCTCTTCTTTCTCACATCCAGATAATGCATTAGAAGCATGTGGATTACTAACTCCTTTACATATAGTACCTGAATGGCATTTCTTATGCCAATATGCTATGTTAAAAGCTGTGCCAAATAAAAATGCAGGATTCATTATCTTATGTACGTCTATCTTCATCTTATTTTACTTTATGAGAAGTCTCTCTTTGTCATTCTATTTTATACTATTTACATCTAGTAGATTTAATGGTTTTTATCTGTGCTTTTGGTTTCTGAATCTTTTTTCTTTTATTTGGATAGGTGGTCAATTTCCTGTAGACAACTTTCTATCTTATGGTCGTATCTTGACATGTAATTATTACTATCTTATTATCTGTATCTTATTGTCTTTTTATTTGGTTTTATTTGCATTTTTAGAATTGTTGGTTCAAATCTTAGAATTATGGAAATTACAAAATGAAGATAATGAAAGGCTAATAAAAAATAGATCCAGAGGTTTACCGAAAGTTAATGAAAAGTTGATTATCTATCCTCATCTTGGGATTATGTTAGGTCTCAATTGGAATTATTCTCTAGGGATAGGTAATTGCTAAGAAGAATGGTGATGGAGAAAGAAGAAAAACAATAAAAATGATGCATGAGATTCAAATATTAAACCTAATAAAAGCTTATAATGAAGATATGAAGGGTAAGGATGGTTAGGATGGATGTAGGTCTATTTCTCCATCATAATGCTTTTATTACATTTAATGTTTAAAACATTTGACATGTTGATCATAAAGTCTTGGAAATATGCCATCATTCACTTCTTTTATTATTTGCATTTCTTATTTTAACTTTTATTGGTTTTACTTTGATATTTTTATTAGCATTATATGGTTTCTGAATTATTAAGCAAACAAAAATAAAAAGATAAAAGGGAAAATATGAACAAGATGTTGATACTATGAAAAAGTCATTCCATGGAATGCATTAGAGATAAGATAAGATGCATGACAATAAGAAAATACAAAACGATTATTGACGGATATTATTGTAACCCATTGAATCTTAGCTTTTACAGAAGTTTCTGAATGAATTTTCCTGTCCCCTTCTTGCCCACAAGCGGCCCGAGCGCGTTATGGACTGAAAGAGCTTCGATAAACTCATGCTGCGCTAGTGCGCCCCCTTCCAATCCGTACGGACATCTGAGTCCTCAAGCCCGTGCAAACACATGAGTCGCAGAATGAGTCACAGCTAACCTCAGGGCCTACCCGACAGCGTGGCACGACTGCAAGCACGGCAGCACCACGCCTCTGCCCAAAACGGCACTTCGGTCTTTGAGCGCTTGGTAGGAGCAGCGCCGGGGCGGCCCGACACACGTTTGCCCATGATCACAGCACACACTGGCCCGGCTTGATGCAAAATGTCTCAAAGTTACCAACATGTGGCCGTGCTTTGCTAGCTGCTGGCTGCACAATGCCCTTGCGCGCAAGTAACACAGGGCAGGCCGGCAAGGTCTGACAGGCTTTGAGAGGCGAAAAGGCCTGACACAGCGCAAGCATGTGTTTCGGTCAGAGCCCTGCGGTTTTTGGAAATACTTTCAAAGGTCAAACATGTCCATGCGTGACAGTCGAGCAAAAAGCAAAGGCTGCTTTGAGGAACTGAGCCAAAGAATCAAACACCCCGGTAGAAAGTTGCGACTGATACCACGAGGCGGTCACAAAACTACAAACACTCGTCAGCCAAAAAGGGTCTGTCACGTCATGGCCCAAAGATGAAACGGCGCCTTCTCCTGAAACTTGGAAATTCTCAGAAGCACACGTTTGTGACCATATTGAATCATGCAGGCCTTAGGGGCCTCATGAGCTGGAAACAAAATGGTTGGCAAATGAAACTGGTGGCGCATCGCTTGCGCCAGCCTCATGCCCCACACAGCTGTGCTCCAAGGCCCACTGGCAAGGATGGTCTTTCAAACTCTCGGCCAGCTTGATCACTGCCTGCGCACGGATGCATTCTTCACGCAGCTCAGCACCCTGGCATGAAAGCACGCAATGAGCAACAACTGGAGCATTGAGCATTTTTCTGCTAGACTAAGCAGCAGGTGTTACTATAGACAGCTATACCTTCTCGATGTAGAGCAGGGCCGCAAAGACAGCGAGCACAGGACAGGCCCCGAACATAGCATTCCCGGCCATTGACACCAAAGCAGTCTTGCCAACACTAGCTGGCAGCTCGACGTGGGCCAGACCCAGGGCGTCGGAATCTTCTTGGTGTACAGGCCAGCCTTGCGCTCTCATGAGTTGCTTGCCTGACACTGCTGGAGTTGCACCAGGTACAAGCTGCCACTTGAGGTTCTCAGAGTCGGCAAGCATCCGTTGACCAACGCAGTCACGGGCCTTGCTTCGGATTGCCTCAGGTCAACCACAGGCGTCTTGCGAAGCAGCCCCTGCTGAATCAGGTTCTCATACTGCCGGAAGTGCTTCTCCTCGGAGTTGGTCATGCGCCTCGTGGACTGCATGTCTGGCGCCGCCGCAAAAATCTCCGGGTCAAACGGGCCTTTGTGTTCAATCTTGACTGCCGCCATTGCCTCGATCCAAGAGTTGACTTCGGGGCCTGCCCACTTGCAAGTACTTTTGCGCCATAGCAACAGGTAGAGCCGCGGCCGAGCCATCGGCAAGGAAAACACCTCGCTCGGGTCAAGGTTGGATTCTGAGTAGTGGTAGATGTCCCCGAGCGCGGCAGCCAAAAGATCTGGAGGATATCTCTCAACATTCTCAAACACCAGCACATCAGGGGGGTCCGCTCTGATCTTTGCGATCCATGCTTCGTGGGATTTGTAGCGGGGGTCCTCCGTGCCAAGGCGTTTGCCAAAAGCGGACCATGGCGGACAGGCTGGCCCTGCAATCTCAATGCGTAGACCCAAACGGTGGTCAGCTGGCGGCGGCGCAGGATCACAGCATGCTTCGTGGGTACAGCACCACGCAGCGTGCAACCCTCGACACTTTGGGGGTCGTTTGCCGGCACCACGCTTGAAACGATTGACCACCTCGTGGATGTCATTGAAGACACACCGGTCCGGCCACCGTGCGTGAAGAACTGCTTGGCAATGGGAGTCCCAATCAAGAGCCGGCCCAAGCTGCAGGGCGCAGCCATGCATCCCCGCCAGGGCCTCCACGCCAGTCTCAGCCATGCCGCATCCGCTGAAGCTTGTTGTAAGGGTCACATGATCCAGCCGCTGCAGGGCTCGCCTCACTTTGTCTGCGCCAATGCTTTGGCTCATCGCTGCAACCATGTGCCTGGGCAGCTGGAAAATATCGTGGACGTCATCGAGGCTAGTGAGAACTGCGTCGGGCAGGATGCCGGCGTGGGGCTGCGGGCTGCGGCTTCGCTCTCTGGCAAGGGCTCGCCAGAACAATTGTTTCCTGTCCCCTTCTTGCCCACAAGCAGCTCTGTCTCCCTGGCAGCGCGTTATGGACTGAAAGAGCTTCGATAAACTCATGCTGCGGTAGTGCGCCCCCATCCAATCCGTACGGACCTCTGAGCCCTCAAGCACCGGTCAGTACAAAGAGTGACACACCCATGCAAACACATGAGTCGCAGAATGAGTCACAGCTAACCTCAGGGCCTACCCGACAGCGTGGCATGACTGCAAGCACGGCAGCACCACGCCTCTGCCCAAAATTGCAGGGGCAGCGCCGGCTTCAGGTCACCGCTACGCTTGCCTTGCTGCTGGCTGCAAAATGCCCCCGCGCGCAAGTAACACAGGGCAGCCCGACAAGGCTTTCACAGGCGATGCGTGCGTCGGTCAGAGCCCCGCGTTTTTGGAGATACTTTTGAATGTGAAACATGTCCATGCGTGACAGTCGAGCAAAAAGCCAAGGCTGCTTCTGAACCCGTGCCAAAGAATCAAACACCCCGGTATAAAGTTGCGACTGACACCACAAGGCGGTCACAAAACTGCAACCACTGGTCAGCCCCCTGCGAAATGAGTCTCTAAGGTTTGCGCAAGCTCAGAAGCACCTGTGCTTGTCACTAAAATGAATCACGCGGGCCTGAGGGGCCTCATGTGCACATTTGTGCTCAAAGCTGGAAACAATATGGTTGGCAAGTGAAACTGGTGGCGCATCGCCTGCGCCAGCCCCTCATCCCCCACACAGCTGTGCATCCACGGCAAAGGCGGAAAACTCAGGGAGTTGCCCCGCTGACCCCGAGAAAGCTGCCTCAGGTACAGCACTGCACGCTGAACAGCCGACTCCTCGTGAGTTTCCAGGAGCGCCAAAGCACATTGAAGCCACCCAACAGCATCAACTGGAGGGTTAGGTTTACGTAGATCTGCTGGCGCCCGAGGCATCCTGCAGAAGAAAGCCTTCAAGTACTCGCGAGGAATAACCACCCGGCAGGCCTGACTTTGCACATCGTCCCACAGAAACCTCTTCACAACCATCACTGTGTCCAACGGGTGAGGCTCCAAGCCCAAGGACCTTCCTGCTGCAGTGCGCGGGGCTTGGATTTCAATATCTTGCTGTGGCAAATCTTTTCCTTGCCGGGCCGAGGACCAAGAAACATGTTGGCCAACACCCAGACCGAAAGGCGCCGAAATGGTTTACACTGCAACAAACAAGTTACAAAACACAGTGAGCTTTGAAGAGCCCAGCGTCGATACAAGAACAAAAATGCGTGGTTGGCTGTCAAATCCAGCCTGAGGCCTCCTGTGATATGGATTTGCAATTGGTTGAAATATCCCTGCCAGTCACGGACACTTTCAAGCACCTCCACAACAGGCTCCGCCCCAGAAAGAAAATTCTTCAAAGCTGGCCGGCGCAAGACTGCCCGAAGCTCCTCAGCCACTGCCCAAATATCCGGAAGGAAGTCCAACCATTGAAACTGCCGGGAGAGGACGCCAAACATTTGGTCCAAAATGTTGTGTGTGTGTCCTTTAACGTGGTTCAGCAAGGCTGTTGATGAAAACAGCCCCCGGGACTGCAACATAGCCAAAAATAGCATCGTCGTTGTGTTCTTGGACTCCCGCACTGTGTTATCGGCTATCAGCGTCATCTCACATGGCACTGGCAGATTTCTCTTCTCTGCAGTGCGTTTGACGTGCTCTAAAGCCCTTGCCAAGCATTCGCAAACCATGCTGCTATCATGGGGCATCACCGAATCAGCCACAAACAGGTGCAGACCAAAGTAAAAACACCAGACCCCTTGCACCTTGCATTTCGGCCTTTTGCAGGACGGGGATCCAAGCTTCTTCGCTGCCCGCCACGCTTTTAGTCTTGGAACAGCCCAATGGCTCTGGTCCATCCCGTCAGTGCAAATCGTCAGAATAGGTTTCGGGCCTGTGGGTGGCATTGATCTCAATGCTTCCTCCAACTCCCGAGACATTGCGACCTGCCTGTAGTGCTGTTGAAGACTGTTGGTAGCATCCAGCAATTCAGAGTAGCCTTGCTTCTTGGCATTCTTGATGTCCCTTTTGAGGCCTGAACAGTAATCGCATTCCACAAAGTCGCCCTTGCTTCGGAATCGCAGGCAGCCTTGAAATTTCTTCCAGTGCCTGTTGAATGTGCTAAAGCTCACCTTCTCTCGTCCTTGTCCGGCAGTCATGTCCCTGTGAAGGTCATAGACACTTCCAGGTGGCAAATACCGCAACGGAAGGCCAATGAGGTTTGTGCCCAGCCCTGTTTGCATGTAACGGGTAAACACAGAGGAATCTGCTAAAATCTGCTCAGGCCCAGGATCGGGAGGGGGGCCACTGTCAGACTCAGAGCCAGAGCTGTCTGGCTGACCCATCAGCGTGTACCGTTGCGCTTTGCGCTTCATCCACTTGCCGTGAAACTTGTGGGGGAGCGTCTCGCCAAGTCCTTTCTGGTTAGGGCAGACCTTGAAACACGGTAAGGAAGGAATAAGAAAAAACAGCGCAACTACAATTTAGGCTTTCTTGAAGTGCAAAGGTTAGTTTTGACAAGCAATGCCCGGCAGGCGACTGCATCCAGGGTGCTAGTATACAGCGTCACGAGGTAAGCGCGAACTTTGGCCTCTTGACAGGCCACGCGAGCCAACCGAGGCTGACCTTTCATTCGGAGATCCACGACCGTCTCGCCGCGCGAAAACCTTGCCAGCCTCATCTTGCCCAGCTGAAACAAGCGTCTGAAGCACGCCAGGGAAAGGAAAAGGCCCAGGACACACACCGATTCTCCAACGCACTGCTCCAACACTGTGTCTCTGACAGCCTTGCGCTGGCTTGCAAACAAGCTCAGCAGCTGGACCAGCTCATCCATGATGGCCTGGAATTGACTGAAGCAGCATTGTCGGGCACAGAAGCAACGCGTTCTTGAGACCAATCCAGACACTCTTGCGGAACATCCCCTGGACGCCTTGAAATCTTTCCTTGCTGCCCGCGCTTTCTTTTGGCTGGCTCTTCTTGCATTGTTATAGCGCTTCTTCCTCTGATTGGGCTGTGGCTGGTTGATGGTGAACTGAGCAGCTTGGTTCTGGATCAACTTGGCAGTCAAGGCTTTGCGTTGTGTAAGCGTGTCAGGCTGTTCGCCTGGACGGTCTTCTGCGCGCTCTTGCGTTCGTGCAGCCAGCGCGAAGAATTTGCCCAAACCACAGCCGCGGCGCTGTTCTCCAGCATCGGGCAGCCCCGAAGCTCCAGCATCCAGCGCCGACTGGGAAGCCCCGCGATTCTGGCAGGAGCAGCCATGGCGCCCAACTTGGACAATTGGTGTTCGAGCTCAGGTTGCGCGTAATCTAAAGTCACATTTTGAAGAGTAGCCAGGCCACCTTAGAGAACACTCAACTTCAACTTTAACTTAACGTCAAGTCTCAAACTTCAACTTCAATGATCCTCCACACTGAGCTCTGCCGTCATTATCTTGCTTCTAGGAAGCAGCAGGCCTGCTCGCAAAAAAGCACGAGAAACAAGCCAGGCGCGCCCGGGCTGGTTTTTTAGAGGCTCCTCGCCTGGCGGGGCCGCTTCCGTTTTCGCTTCCGTTTCCCAGTCTGGAAATGGAAATCCCCCTTCCGGAAACGGCCGAAAGCCTGGAAAAACGGGAAAAACGGACCGGCTGGAGCTGGAAACGGAAAACGGAAAGCCCCCTTTTCAGACCGGCCAAATGGAAAAGGGCTGACATCACCCTCAAAGGGTCGGCTGGCTGGAAATAATATGTCTCCTTCTCGTGGCTAGAGTCAGCCAGCCTAAAGTTTTTTTTTAGCGGGATTCGGCTGGAAATTGAAAGTCCTCTTCTGGCAACTGGAAAGGGAAAGCAGACATCATCTTCGGATATGCCCCTTGCCTGTCTATCTCACAAAAGAAATCATGCTGATGCACACATGCCCCCCTCCCGACAACTTAGCCTGCCTTTCCGAAATGTTTGGCCATCTCCAAACACTTGACGCGCAAGGCAGAGTCGCTGGTCCCCGGCCAAAAACTTGGAGATTGGAAACCCAAGTTTTTGGAGCAAGCACTTGGCATGAAGGCCCAAGTGGTTGGCCCCACTCCCAACAACTTAGCCTGCCTTGCCAAGATGTTTGGCCATCTCCAAACACTTGACGCGCAAGGCAGAACTTGCTGGTCCCCGGCCAAAAACTTGGAGATGCGGAACCAAGTTTTTGGAGCAAGCACTTGGCATGAAGGCCCAAGTGGTTGGCCCCACTCCCAACAACTTAGCCCGCCTTGCCAAGATGTTTGGTCATCTCCAAACACTTGGCGCACAAGGCAGAACTTGCTGGTCCCCGGCCAAAAACTTGGAGATGCGGAACCAAGGTTTTGGAGCAAGCACTTGGCATGAAGGCCCAAGTGGTTGGCCCCACTCCCAACAACTTAGCCCGCCTTGCCAAGATGTTTGGCCATCTCCAAACACTTGGTGCGCAAGGCAGAACTTGCTGGTCCGTGGCCAAAAACTTGGAGATGTGGAACCAAGTTTTTGGAGCAAGCACTTGTGGTTGGCCCCACTCCCAACAACTTAGCCCGCCTTGCCAAGATGTTTGGTCATCTCCAAACACTTGGCGCACAAGGCAGAACTTGCTGGTCCCTGGCCAAAAACTTGGAGATGCGGAACCAAGTTTTTGGAGCAAGCACTTGGCATGAAGGCCCAAGTGGTTGGCCCCACTCCCAACAACTTAGCCCGCCTTGCCAAGATGTTTGGTCATCTCCAAACACTTGGCGCGCAAGGCAGAACTTGCTGGTCCCTGGCCAAAAACTTGGAGATGTGGAACCAAGTTTTTGGAGCAAGCACTTGGCATGAAGCCCAAGTGGTTGGCCCCACTCCCAACAACTTAGCCCGCCTTGCCAAGATGTTTGGCCATCTCCAAACACTTGGCCAAAAACTTGGAGATGTGGAACCAAGTTTTTGGAACAAGCACTTGGCATGAGGGCCCAAGTGGTTGGTTCGCAACTTATGCTGCCTCGCCAAGTATTTGGCCATCTCCAAATACTAGCAGCAGAAGGCAATGTTGTTGGGCCGCGGCCAAGATGGGAACCCCAAGTCTTTGGAGCAAGCGCTTGGTATGAAGGCCCCTACCCCAACTATTGAGCCTGCCTCTCCCAAGTTTTTGGCAGTATCCAAACACTTGGCGCGCAAGGCAAAGCTGCTGCCCCCCTACCAAAAACTTAGAGATGGGGAACCAAGTTTTCCCAACCTTGCCTTACATGGGGGCTTTTTTGATGCGCCAAAACCAGGCTTCAAAGGTTTCCAGAGTACTCAGGCAGTCAAAGACTTGAATCATTCAAACTCAACGACAACTGAGTGACTTCTCCTTGCGCGCAGCGCCAGAATGATGTTCACCGAGTTGCGGGCAACTCAGGCAAGAGGGCTGAACGGGTAGCTCACAGCAAGCCCGCAATGGGCTTGGCCCAAAAACGTAGTTTCTGTTTACCGCCACCTAGTGAATCGGAATGAGTCAACGATTTTGCCTTGATGCCAAGTATTTGGATAGGGCCAAAGACTTGGAGCGCAGCCACTGGGTTGTTGGGAGGGGCCAAGCACTTGGATTTTCACACCAAGCGCTTGCTTCAAAAACATGGGAGGCTGTTTTCTTCCGGGCCAAATGTTTGCCAGAAAGCGATTTGGAGACGCAGGTACTGAGAACGGCCACGCGCCTGAGCCCTGCAACCAAAAACCAATGGCCAATGGCCCTCAATTGCCTTGGACAAGAGCGCTTTCGTTTGAGACGGCGCTAGGCCCCAGGCGACAGCCGGAGGCGAATGTACGTCCTGCAGGCAAATCTAGGCATGCGGTGCTGCGAATGAAATTGCACTGACACCAGCTTGCGCACTTCAAGCGTTGCTGCAACTTTTTTCTACCGAGGCATGAGGGAGTCCAAGGCCCTTTGGAAGGAGTCGCGGTGGTCGTGCGCCATCTTTCCGAACCTTGGTTGGCCCACATGACAGCGTCCGTTCTGGCAAATCAAAACGGCCCCTTGTAAGAAAACAAGCAGGAAACCACAGCGCAAGAGCAAGCCAAGCAACGTCCAGTGGTCCCCAAACTGCGCTTGACACCGTTGGGCACGCACATAGTCCACCTCGGAGCAGGACGTGGCTGAATCTGAAGGCGTCGACAAGTAAATGTCACAGCATATAGAAATCAAACTCAAAGCAGCCAAGCAGGAAAGCAGAACCAGCAACGGCAACTACTGCTGCCCAGCAACGGCTTTGGACCAAGTCGTCCACTTGGCGATCATCGCCACGGCAGCGCACACCTGAGGCGCCCGGTGCACCCCAGAGTTGCAGTGGATCACCACATTGCGGCGCTTCAGTGCAAGGAAGCACTTCACGATCAGCTGCTCCAACCTAGGCGCGCCAGCTTGTGTTGCTTGGAAAAGAACAATTTCAATGCGTTTTGTTTTAAAGCCTGCCCAATCCCCGCTGTGTAATTTTAAAGAACGGCCATGGCAAACATCACACCTTGACGTTTCAGGATGCCCTCAGGCTCACGGTTGTCGCCTTTCTTTCGACAAGGCTCTCCGAGTGCTGACCCTTGTGCTTGTGGTTGGGGTTGAAGAAAATCAGCTTGCACTCGTTGCTGGCCCTTGCCATCGAAGCCCGAGCATCAGCATGCAGCCTGGGTTGGTGAAGCGAAGCTTTACCCGCCGACATTGGAAGCTCTGTGGCAAATCACTGCTCAGGGTCTTAGGCAATTCCCAATGTGTTTGAAGACATGAGAAAGTCTGAAGTAGAGCTGACAAGCTGCTCCTCCCGCTGGCAGTTGATGATCAGCGCGTCACCCACAGAGTCGTAGTCCAGATGACCGCAGCAGAAAAGCTTGCCAGGGCCCCAGGGCAGCGGAATGTGCGTCCTAGGATGCCGAGCGAGCGGTTTGGGGAGCAACAGGAAAAACAAGATGAAACCAAGAAGCGGCGCGCCGCGAAAAAAAAAAACAGTAGTCCAAGGTTCAAGTGGTAGCCCTTGTTGTCCCTGAGGTACGCCAAAGAGGCGATGCTCCGAGTCTCCTTCCAAGCGCTTGGCCTTCAAGCCAACCAAGTTTCTGGAGCACAACTTTGCCTTGCGTGCCAAGTGTTTGGACACAGCCAAAAACTTGGGGAGGCTCAGTTGTTGGGGTTTGGTCAAGCACTTTGGCCTTTATACCAAGTGCCTGCTCCAAATACTTTGTTCCCCATCTTCAAGTTTTTGGAAGTGTTTCGATACGGCCCAAAAACTTGGAAGAGGCAGGCTCAGTTTTTGGGGGCGGTCAAACGCTTGGAACTTATAGCAAGCGCTTACTCAAACCTTGCCTTCTGTGCCAAGTGTTTGGAGATGGCCAAACACTTGGCGGGCAAGCTCACTCCAAAAACTTGGTTTCCAATCTCCAAGTTTTTGGCAGGGGGCCAGCAACTCTGCCTTGCACGCCAAGTATTTGGAGATGGCCAAATGTCTTGGCAGTGACAGGCAAAGTTGCTGGGAGTGGGGCCGGGCCAAACATGACATGTGGACCTTTGTTCCAAGCGCTTGCTCCAAACGCTTGGTTTCCGTTTGTCGCCGCCAAGTTGCGCCAAGTATTTGGACACAAGCAAAAACTTGGAAAGACAAGGTCAATAGTTGGGAGGGGCCAACCACTTGGGCCTTCATGCCAAGTGCTTGCTCCAAAAACTTGGGTTTCCAATCTCCAAGTTTTTGGGAGGAAACAGCAGCTCGCCAAGTGTTTGGAGATGATGGCCAAACATCTTGGCAAGGCAGGCTAAGTTGTTGAGAGAGGGGCCCGACAACTTGGGCCTTTCTTCCAAGGCTTGGTCTCCCACACCAGGATGCCAGGAGGAAGCCAAAATCTCATCTTCGCTGGTCACCTAGTTGGATGTGTTGAACGCATTTGACACTTAGAGATCCAGGCCGTGTTTTGGGGGGAACAGCGAACACTTGGGCCTTGTCGCCAACTAATAGGCCTGGAAGAGTTGCTGTATTAACAACGATTGTTGCGGGGCGGGACAAACTGTTCGTTCTTACTGACTCAACCTTGGCGCGTTTTTTTTTTGGTTTTTTTTGATTTTGTTGCCAAGCTGCCCCTAGTCGATTTCAGAGGGCCCAAATTCACTTGCGCAGCGCGCCTCCGGGAGAGAAGGCTTGGCCTTGGCGCGAGCCCCCACCGCTGCCGCTGCTGCTGCCGGCTTCTCGGGCTCCTTCGGACGCTTCTTCGGAGCTGCTGCTGCCGGCTCCTGCGGCGCTGGCCGCTTCTTTGGAGCTGCTGCCGGCTCA